ATTAAATGATGGCATGAATTCTGGGGAAACTAAGACTACCTATTTCCAAATAATCCTAAATTCCTTCCAGTCCTTATGACTGATGAATTCATCTTGAAGTGACAACTACGTCCCAATTAGGAAAGAGTGTTTCTTTATATGCACTTAATTTTTTGATTTGGAGGCTTCCTGATTGCTAATCAGCATGTTGTGTGATTACCTCAACAAGTACTTATAGAACGTTATTCTGTCACTGGAAAAACGCTCCGCTGCTTTGTGAAGTTTAGATTGCTCTGGAGTCTAGGAAGAGTGAACGTACCTAAAGCAGTTCCTAATTACTGGACATTCTCAAATCTGCTAGAGCTACACATCCAATTCTGAGAACACACTGGAAAAAGCCCTGGATTAGAAATGAGAAAATGTAGCTTTTAGTACCAGGTTAGCCACCTTGTTAATGCAAATTTGAGTAAATGGTTTACTTCTTTTAGGCCTTTTGTTTTGTTTTGTTTTGTTTTTTGACAGTCTTGTCTCTGTGGTCCACGCTGGAGTGCAGAGGCACGCTACCGGGTCACTGCAGTCTCTACCTCCCAGTTTCAAGCCATTTTCATGCCTCAGCTTCCTCAATAGCTGGGATTACAGGCATGTGCCACCACACCCTAGAACTCCTGACCTCCAGTGATCCACTTGCCTCAGCCTCCCAAAGTGCTGAGGTTACAGGTGTGAGCCACTATGCCTAGCCTTACACCTTGTTTTCTTATTGGTAAAGTAGAAATATCTAGAAGTTGCGTGCTACACAAATTCAACCATATATGCTTGGCAAAAATTTTTAAAGAAAAATATCAGCTTAAGAGTACTAATTGAGTACATGCCTTGGAATAAGCATGAGCTGGAAAGAACAAACCTGTTGTTACATCACTCATTTCTGTTCTCACATGCAGCTCATTGTAAATCTTGCTCAGTGGCATGATTTTAGTGTTTAAAGATTTATTTGTTTGTTTGTTTAGGACAAAGTCCCTACACATAATCTACTTGCTTCATATACATACATATGTATATTATGCATGTACATATATGCTATCAGGGCTCACATGAAAAATCAGCCATTCAGGTGATGTGATTTATCTCATATGCTTACTTTAGAGTCAACAGGGTGTTGACTCCACTATACAATACTGGCATAGAGAACACATAAGTCAAAGTAGACAGGACCCAGCCGTACCATTGGCTAGGGCACAAATACAGTCACATATGTGGAGAATGATGTACGTAGAAAGGTCTTCATTGCACAATGCTCTTTAATAAAGATCTGAAAAAAAAAACACCTAAATGTTCAAAAGGATAGGGTTGATGAAATAATGGTACATTATAAAATGGAAGATTATGCAGCCATAAAAATAAGGAAATACCTTAAATAATAACAGAACAACTTTTAAGGTTAAGTGAACAAATAAGGTACATAATCACCATGCATGGTATGTACCATTTACATAGAAAAAGGGAAGAAAAATAAAATATATATAGTAATTTATTTGCTCTCACATGTGTAAAATTTTTCTGAAAAATGTACCAGAAACTGGTAGCACTCGTTGCTTCCTAGGCAGAAAATGACTTCACTGAGTATCCTTTTGCACCTTTTGAATTTTGAACCATGTGAATAAATGTGTTTCCTATGAACAAAGTGACAAGTTTAGATCAGCAAGACAGCAATTTGAGATGAAATGGGATCACACCCTTAGTAGGAAAAACTTTTTGAAGCAGGTGGTACTTCTAAGAGTAAATACCCACACATGGAATGTTGAAACTGTAAGGAACTTTCCTTAAGACAACCATCTATTCCAAACTTCTCATTTTATAGATCTGTAAACTGAGACCTTAAAAATTCAGTGACTTGCGTAAGGTCACACAGCAGAAGACATGGGATTAGATGTTAGATATTCCAGTATCAACTTTACACTATTATCATGCCATCTTCTCATTTTCTATGGGCAAAACAGAACCAAGTAAGTTTGGGCTACATTACAAGCTGTCATTTTTTTTTTTTTTTTTTGAGACAGAGTCTCGCTGAGTCGCCCAGGCTTGAGTGCAGTGGTGTGATCTCAGCTCATTGCAATCTCCAACCTCCGGGGTTCAAGCAATACTCCCTGCCTTAGCCTCCCAAGTAGCTGGGATTACAGGCACCTCCCACCGTGCTCAGTTAATTTTTGTATTTTTTTTTTTTTTTTTAGCAGAGACAGGGTTTCACCACCTTGGCCAGGCTGGTCTTGAACTCCTGACCTCATGATCCACCCCCCTCAGCCTCCCAAAGTGCTAGGATTACAGGTGTGAGCCACCACACCTGGCTGAGTTGTCATGTTTTATCTAAATTTTAGAGCCTGAAATATAAACTAACCTTAAGCCCTTAAACTACTAATTTCTTATTTGGATCACTATATGGCTACACTTACAAATATGCTGTGCATACCTCTATCATTGCATGTATACAATATGATAGATGCACGATGTGACAGACACACAATACGACACACGTACTTTTGCTATCCTAACATATATGAATTTACTGAAAGAACTAAAATATCTTCATTTTTTAAATATACACACGCATAGCACAAGTGTGTTGCCAAAAATATGAATACAGGTTTACAATTCCTTAACTAAAACCCAAGGGTTGGATGTTTTAGAAATAAGAATTTCATACAATTTTTAAGTGTTACAAGGTATATAAACCAATATATCACATCCCACATACCAGGGGCCAAGGACAGCACCCCATAATCAAACATATTAATACAGTTTCAGCAAAACACATGGGATAAAGACTATATACAGCTTCTCAATAGTTCAGGTCATATTTTGCTACCAAATGAATTTTGTTGCCAAGCTTAAGAAGTTTTTGGTTTTCAGCGCTTTCTGAATGTTAGTCTGAGATGTGGGATTACAGACTGTACTCATAGAGTGCTTCTAGAAAGTACAGCCAGTCACTTCGACTCTCATCTTTTTGATGAGACTAGAAAAATAAATCATAGCAAGTAGCTTTTATATTCCATGTTTGGGCCAAAGACTTGTACTGTGGTTAAGGAATCTAACTTAGCAGAAGGCGCAAGAGCTGACATCGTGAGTGCCTAAAATGAGGGGGAGATAAAAAAGAAAATCCTAATCATACAGCACTGAACTACTGCAGCCGTTCGTTAGTTATTAATTTAATAAAAGCTTCCTCCCTTTAAACCATGAGTTTATAACTGGAAATAGGTCAATAAAATTTCTGTCCCACACTGCTCACAAGCGGATGGAGGCAATGAGCTTTAATCCCACTGGAAGGTACTGCACTCTGTCTAGGACCAGGATATGTAATAAAAGCATTTCAAATATATAGGAATAAGCAGATATGTATACACTATTCTCAACTTGGACCGTTACTCTATAATATAAAAGAAAGGGGTTTGTTTTCTAGTCAATCTCTGCTGATCTCCTGTATCCAAGTTCTTCTCTTTATCTTGTGAGTCTTGTACTACCTTTTACAAGGGGAAAAAGCTCTACAGCGAAAACACAGAACACACTAAAATCCTTTCCTTTCTCTTTACAACTCAAGCCCCACCTCCATTTTGTTTCTGTTACTAATTATTTTCCTGAAAAAGTATCAAATTTACACTAAAAGACTAAAATTCAACTTTGCAGACAACCATGTTTTAAAAAATATAATTCAGTTTGGTGATGTTATTTTGCAGTCTTACAATTTTAGCTATATTTTAACTGAACCAATTGTTTTGTTCAATTTATGAGTTAACACTCAGCTAGTTTGTTTTTTACAAATAGTGTATTCCATTCTAAAAATGGAAGTAGCAGTGGTGAGCAAGAAAACCACCCTCTGAGTTTTGGCTATTCAGGAGGAAGTACTACTTTCTCCAATTTTAATCACAATTCATAAAAACCTAACTAGCTAGATCTTAAATATACAAATACATTAATAATCTAGTAAAGCAACAGAAAAAGGTAAACTAACCAGCCTATTTTTGTCTGGAGAAACCCCAACAAACTCTGCTGGATTCCTTGGCCATTTGCATTCAGAAGTACCAAAAACTAAAATCCTTCTTACTAAATAATTTATTCTACACGAGACTTGTTTCCTCCATACCACCCTACCCAAATTATCAGCATTATTCCAGAATATAATCATTTAGTTTGAGACGACTAAAAAACCCCACACTCCAAAATACCAATTGTGGTTAGTCTGTAAAGAAATGGTCTGAAACTACAAAATGTTATCCTAGGACACATAACCAATCGACCAAAAGGACTTCTGGAATATGCTGCCCCCAAGATTTAGAATGCACAGGCAGAAATAGCATACGCGGTCACGATGTCCCTTAAGCCACATGACCTTCCTACGAAAGCAGAGGCTTAAACTTATCAAATGAGAACTCCCCCTTTCTCTAAAGTTAAAACAAGGCAGGGCAGCTGGAATTAGTGCAGCAGGGACAGAACGGCTGCTGACTAGTCAGAACGGGTCGTGGAATGCAAAGTCCCTGTGCTTTCGCTGCTCCCCTTACCGTGAGAAGATCTGGGAGGGAGGAAAGGAGGAGAAACACCCCAGAATCCTGGTAGAAAAGCCCCTGGCCTCGAAGATGGGCTCTAGGGAGACAGGGAGGGGCAGCTCCGTGTGTGATGACCCTTTGTGAACATGCACTCTGTGGCAGCTTCGGCTCCACCGAGGCTTTGGGAGAGCGGACTACGGATGCCCAGCGCGACCCAGCTGTGAAGGCCACGCCGGCGGAGAGGCTCCATGGCACCTCCGCCGGCTTCGGGAGCCCTTCCCTCTCCCACCTCCGCGGGTCACCCCAGGACCCAGCGGCTCCCGATCACGCTCCCGCGGACCACGGAACAGCAACGCAGAAGCCGGTCTCTTTCCTCAGCGTAATCCCTCCGCAGCAGGCCGCGCACTAGTTTTAATCACGCCCCACCCCCTGGCCGCTGGCGCCACCTCCGCCACTCGGGCGCTTTCCAGCAGCTTCCAGAAACGTCGCCTCCCCAAACCCAGCCACTCACACATGGCGGGCTCAGCAACCACCGGCCCCGCCCCTCCTCGTCGCCGCAGTCGCAACTGCGTCTGCGGCCACAGGGCGGACGGCCACGCCTCTGCGGAGCGCGACCGGAAGTGCTCACGTCTTCACCTTCCCCGCCACGCCTCCGTTCTTTCAGGCCCTGCGTGCAGCAGGAAGGAGGACTGTTTTGCCGCGGACTGAAGCCGGAAGCCGCCTTCCTAGTGGAAACGCGAGTGGGGGAGGAGCAGTCCGCGGGGAACGTGGGTTGAACGTTGCAACTAGGGTGGAAATCAAGCTGGAACAGGAGTTCCGATCGACCCGATACCAAGAAGGGGAGTGCCCGCGGCAGGTAACGGAGAAGAGGGAGGGGTTTCTTTCCGCTCTCGAAATTGGGAAAAGAGACAGAGCTGGGATGACCTATGGGGTAGTCGGCGCGCTGAAAGGATGGGCTAGGCTGGGACGGGGTTCAAGTGGGAAAGATTGATGATTAAGGTATAGAGTTGGACTTACAGATCCGTTTGGGCTCAGAGAGGTGAACGCTGAAGAGAAACCAGAGTTTGTTTTCGTTTTCCAAGGAGCGTGGAGTTGGGCAGGGTTAACGGACCCTGCGCCTCTTGGGGCTTCTTAGGTTGGGTGTTGAAACTTCCCTCCTTTGGTCCTGTTCGTCTCTGATTCAAAATAGTTGGGTTTGGTACCAGACAGGGCTGGGTACAGAAAGCCGACCCTGTTCTTCGGCTTCCAGGTGGGTTGTGGCCTCGCTCTTGACAGTTCACGTGCCGAGCCTACTCGCTCTCGGAAGGCAAGCTCAAATGGGTGGGTATAAGGCCCCCTCTTCGAACAGCTGTTTCCCTGGGTTTCTCCATTTTGCACACAGGAGTGTGAATTAAGTTTAATTGCATACTTGTTACGATTCCCAGGGCCAGCTTGACACGTTCATTGTGCTATATAACTGGGTTCATGCTTGGCTAATAATTCACATTAAGGCTTCTGGAGTATAAGTGGCCCACAGAAGTATGAAAAGTGGATATTAGGAGAAAGATGCTGGGGGTGAAGTAGAGCTGAGGAAAATAGAACCGGAAAGCTGGATTGTTTTCACAGTACAGTGAGCTTTAGGTCATAGTACTACCTTTAGGTTATATTGGGCTGTTTTAACGGACTTTACTGTAATCAGGCTGGAGTAAATAGAGAATTTTAAGCTAAGCATTGACAGGCTTAGACTTATCTTACAGGGACATCATTTTGACAGTGATATGGAAGGGAAAGAGGTAGAGATTTGAGACCTTTCCACAGAACTGTCCACAGAATTTGGTGACTTACTGTGAGGGAAATAAGGAATAGGGAACAACTCAGACTTTCTAGCCTGTGTGTTTCGAAGGATGGAGACGCCCACATGTAAGTGAGATATGGGAAGGAGGAGCAGATTGTTTTTGAAGGGAAGAAGAGCAGCTACTTAGGGTCAAATTAAGTTGTAAAATCCACCCCAGGATTTTGTATTTAAGTCGAAGTGAATTGTATTTGGAAGAAGACCTGGGGAGCTCAGCTCTGGTATTTTTTTTATGTCCCCCATATGGACAAATAAACCTCTGGTAGTAAATGAATTGTCTTTTGGGGAATTCTATATATTCAGGATTTCAACCACCAGCCTATCTTTTTCCCGCTGAAATGTTGGGTGACGGAATCAGGAGAGCAGTTTGGAGGCCCTTTATATTTTATAATTGAGAGAGACAAAGAGAAAACCGTTTGATTTGAAAAAGTTTTCTAGGTTCCCTCAAGTACTTGGAAATTTTCATCAAAAACAGTTTATTCAAAGTACATAGCCTACTAGTTTCCTATTTGAGAGTACCGCAGAATGATACAACGTGTACTGCTTCTCTACGCAGAATGAAGTATAAAATTAGCACCAAATAGTAGCTTTGTCAGGTGCTAAACTTTTTACATCTTTATCTCATTTAATTCTTAGAAGAAACTAATTTTACAAGTAAGTTTCGGAACCAAGATCCGCAGGTACAAAGCCTGCAAAGCAGGAACCATGGAAGTTTGACTCCTACATAGTTCCCTTTTGTAAGTAGATTATAAATAGAACCAGCCAAAGGGTAATAAGTGGTGTGTGCCTAAAAAGAAAGAAAAAAGTTAGCATCAGTAGTTCTCACCAGAAGGGGTGATTTTGCCTACCGGGGGACATTTGGCAAGTCAGGAAACTTTTTTCGCTGTTGGATCTAGAGGGTAAAGGTCAGTGACGCTGCTAAACATCGTCAGTACATAGGACAGCCTTCACAAACAGTTATTTGGTCAGAGTTATCTGTAATGCTGCGGTTGAGAAACGCTGTCTTATGGTTATTTCTTCAGGAATAGAAAATTAAAATTCACTGATACTTTCTTCAAAAAGCAGTTTTATTTTTGAAGTTATTCCTTGGCTTGAAAGGTTTGTGAAGTTTATATAGCTGAACCAGAACAGCATAATTAGCTTTTAAAGTGAATTATGAGCCATCGATTCCTAGGAGATGGGTGTCATAGAATCATGCATTCGGATTTGGGAAAGACTTATGCCTAGAATTATTTTACAACATTTCTGCTAAGTGGTAATTCTCCTTTGCCCTAAAGGTCTCCTGTATTTAATTTTCCTATAATGGTAAACCCACAATTAAAATACTCTTAATTATTTTTTGCTTACACTGAGCTCCGGTCTCTCGTAATTTTTACTCTATTAAATGCAGTTCTACACCATGGGACTAAGCTCAAAACGAGCTTGCCACATGTAATTTGTACTAGGACAGTGTTTATATTGTTGTTCTGATAACAAAAGGAGTTAAATGTGGTGTAAATTAGATCATTTACAAATAATGATTTGTTAGCAGCTTTTAATAAGTAGTATTGTAGTATTTTTTCCAACTGATGAAGTATTAATGTTGTTGGTAGTTGAAAACAATAGGAATGTATGGAATAGATGGTTCATTGTTTCTTTTGTTCCTGCCAGATAGTGGCACAATGGATCTGGGGTTTTTCTCTGTATAAATGCTGGCATATTTGTTTCAAATTGTACATAGACTCTAAGAAGTTAGGTTTTCAAATTCTGGTCAATATAGTTTGCCTTAAATAGTAACTACCTCTACTACAAGTTTTATTTAATTTGTTCACAAATGAGTCTGTTATGAAAACTGGTCACTGCCCTCTGTTCACAAATTTGCTAGGTTTGTAAATATAGGTATCATTTTCACTTCAAGATTATAATTGTAGAATATGTTTATTCCAGGACATATAGCCCTCAACATCTATTTAATATATACGTCTTGTAAAATAGCATGGTTCTTTTTTATAGTAAATAGAATTTTTATTTAATTGTCTATTGACTTTTTTTTTCCAGGGTTCATTGAAAAAATCGTTAGTGATATTGACATGTCTCAAGTGACATAAATTAGCCAATGACTCGGAATGATGGATTCTCCGAAGATTGGAAATGGTTTGCCAGTGATTGGACCAGGGACTGATATAGGGATATCTTCACTCCACATGGTGGGGTATTTGGGAAAAGTTAGTGAACTTATTTTTTGCCTGAGTGCAAAGTTTTTTTTTTCTTCTGTATTTTTGAGACTTAAATTCAATTGCGATGTTACCAGTTAACTTCTAAAAAATTGTGTCTTCCACGGAAATCTTACAGTAATGGCGAAAGATTGTTTTAATGTGTTTACCTCTCTGTTTTATTGATACATGAAAGTGGAAATAAAACATAGACCTTATGATTTACTGTTCTTTGAAAATATGGTACATAAATTCTCCCTGGTAGTTGATGTTACTTTTTTTCTTGCAAATAAAATTGATGCTGTTCTTAACACTTAACATTTAATATTTAAAACCATAACATAATTATTTTTGGAATAATAGCTTAAAGGCTTATATGCATTTCTTTTATTTGCCATGTTTAAAATATCTTGGCAGGATATTTGTAATAGAAAATTATAATTTTTTCTGGTTACCTTTCCATCTAACTTTTAATATTTTGATATATTGTAGGAATGTCTATATTTTAATTTGCTTTATTTCTCTTTTAGAATTATGATTCAGCTAAAGTTCCATCAGATGAGTATTGCCCTGCTTGTAGAGAGAAGGGAAAGTTAAAAGCCTTAAAGACTTACCGAATTAGTTTTCAAGAATCTATCTTTTTGTGTGAGGATCTGCAGGTAAAGTATTAATCTTATATAGTATATATAAGATTTTTCTTTTTTCTTTTGCTTTTTTCTTGTTTTAAAAGTTTACTCATTTTTTGTTTTTTAGGCTGGATTTTTAATATGTAATCTCAGTTTCTAAGTCTGTCTGGTATACAATGTTATTTTTCCACCTACCTTTCCCTTTGCATAAAGATCTTTGTTTTTATTGCCATTTGACTTGAGAGAGGAGAAAATACATTTCAAGTTCTTTTTTTTAACCTTTTGGAGGTCCTTGTTAGCTATTAGCGTATAGTAGTTACTCTCTCATCTCTTTGGTTTATCTTTGCAACTGATGGGAAAAGTTGCGAATCTCTAATGTACCTGGAAGATTGTTTTGGAAATTGGTTAGTCTAAAACCAGTATATATACTGTGAACCAGATAGAGCATAGAATCTTGTAAAGTCTAAAAGACCCTTTTAGAAGCTCTAAATAGCTTTTAAAATTATAGTAATTTGTACACACTGGTACGGCTTTTATATAGCAGCTCATTAAATTCTATAATACTCCACATTTTATTGTATTTGACAGTTTATGAGACTGTCTCATACACATTTAATTCTCAGAACTTTGCAGGATTTGTATTGCTATTTCATGAATAAGAAAATAGATGGATTTCAGAGGGTTTAGGAACATAAGATCCTGATACAGTGGCAGAGCTGTGGTTGGAATACAGACTTCTAATTTTGGATCTGTTTATTCCAGCAAAAAATTAACAGTTCATCAGAATTACCTAGAGTGCTTTTAATAAATTTCTGAGTATCAACCCCAGATGCTGATTCAGTAGAGTTGGCCCAGAATTCTGTGGTTTTGTAACATTTGAGGATGAGTCTGATCATCAGCCAGCCAGGTTTGGAAAATACTAGACTTAGTCACGTGGTTGTTAATAGATACTTATGCTGGGTATAATTTGAAGTAAAGTAATCCCAGGCATGTCTACAAATATAAATTTCTTTATGCATATATTCAATGGTTTTTTTATGAGTGTCACTGTTTGCCATTGTTCCAGATACAATGTTAGGATACAATAATAAAACAAAAATTTCTTTCCCTTAAGGAGGTTATGTCGTAGAGTGGGAAAGACAATAAACAAGTATGTGTTTCTGTGTCATGTGATAAAAAGTGCTGTGGAGGAAAATAAGGCAGTAGGGACTGGAATGCCAAAGTAGGGGGAGTTTGCAATTTTAATTAGGTTGGTGAGGGCAGTGCTTCAATGAGAAAGTGAAATTTGAGCAAAAGCCTGAAAGAGGTGTAGAGCAGTGAGCTTGCTAGGCAGGGGAAGCAAGTTCCAGGGAGGCCTTGAGAGAATGGAGGCTGCCTGTGATATTTGTGCTACTGCAATGAAACCAGCAGGGCGATAGAAGGTGGATCAGAAAAATAATGGGGGAGCTGGACCAAGTAGGGTTTTATAGGCCATTGTAAGCTTTCTGGCTTTTACTATGGGTGGAACCAGGAACCATAGCAGACATGTTGGCAGAGGAGTGACATAAGTTGACTTCAGTGTTAAAAGCTTTACTGTGGCTGCACTGTTGAAAATGTATGTAATGGGCAAGACCTAAAGCAGGGAGATTATAGTATAATATGAATTATATTTGGTCCTTGCCTCTGGTTTCTGTCACAGAGCTAAAACTCTTAGAATTTCCTGAGTGACAAGAGTGTCCTGTTATTCATAATGAGCCTGTTTGCTAACACTGGGGTTCATACTAATGTGGTGACTTAGGATGGAGCCGTGGATAGCTTCAGATGGGGCAAGTAGCTGGAAAGCCCACATGATTAGAGAATTAATGAGAGAACTTTTAGTCCTACCCACAGGCCTCCAGGAAAGGAGTGGAGGGGCTGGAGATTAAGCTGTATGAAAATATCAAGATTTGGATTTAACGCGTGTCTGGGTTGCTGGAGGGGCTGGTGCCATGTGGAGGTGGTATGCCCAGAGGAAGTGGAAGCTTCATACCTCTTCTGCCCCATACCTTGCCCTACTCATTTCTTCATCTATATCCTTTAGAATACCCTTTAGGATAAACCAATAAACATAAGTGTTCGTTTGAGTTCTGTGAGCCGTCCTTGCAAACTAGTTATGCCCAAGAAGCGGGAGTGGGAACCTTTGTAGCCAGTCAGTCAGATATACTGGTGTTCTGGATGTGGGATTGGCATCTGAAGTGGAGGGAGTCGTGGAACTGAGCCCTCAACCTGTAGGGTCTGACATGGTCTCTAGGTAGATAACATCAAAATGGAGTTGGATTATAGGATAGCCATTTGGTGTCCTGTGGAGAATTGCTTGGTGTGGGGAAAAAGCCCCCACACCTCTGGTCACAGAAGTGTGCTGGGAGGATAGAATATATGAAAATTGTCAGAATCCAAATGGAGTAATTTGTGTTAAAAAAAAAAAAAAATTCCTGCCTGGTCAGGCAAGTGGCTGACAACTGTAATCCCAACACTTTGGGAGACTGAGGCAGGCAGGAGGATTGCTTGATCCTAGGAAATGGAGACCAGCCTATGCAACATAGTGTGGCCTTGTCTCTAAGAAAAAATTTTAAATTAGCTGGGCATGGTGGTGTGCGTCTGTAGTCCCAGCTACTTGGGAGGGGGACTACAGGTGCACAGCACCATACCCAGGAGGTCCAGGCTGCAGTGAGCTATGATTGTGCCACTGCATTCCAGCCAGGATGACAGGGTGTGAGACCCTGTCTCTATTTAAAAAAAAAAAAAAAAAGACAAATAGAGCCAGGAAAGGCTATGAAGAGAGAGCTTTCATGCATAAATACCAAAATATACCAAAAGACTGCAAAAACCACAGCCTTGCACAAAGACCGTCATCACTTACACAGAAGATACTTCTGCAAGAACATCTGCCCAACAACTGCCTGGTCCAGCCGTGGGCTGGTGTCATCCTTGTTACTGATTCTTGTAGCCAAGGGTAATTATCTCAAAACAAGTATGTGATCCTTCTCATTTTCCTTTAAAAACCTTTTGTCTTCCCTTACCTCCCTGAACACAGTTTACTATGGCATGTGTATTCCCATTGGAATACTTTATTCCTGAATAAATGTCACTTTCTTTTTAAAAGCTTCTCTCTCTTTCTTTTTATTTAGATTGATAAGTAGAAAGGAAAAAAAGCTTTTTTCCCTTTGGACTAGTCAAAGGCAGTTGCAGTATTCTGGGGTAGAGGGTGGTGGCAGAGGTGTTGAGGCATGGTTGGAGTTTATTTATACTTTGAAGGTAAAGCCAACAGGATTTGCTGAAAGATTGGAATATGGGGTTGGAAAGAGGAATCAAGGATGGTTCCAAGATTTTTGGCTTGAAAAATTAGAAGAATGGAATCGCTAATTACTGAACTGGGAAGACTTGGAAGAGCAAGATTTTGGGGAGAAGATCAGGACCATAAGAATAGACAAGTCCTAGTCCTCGGGAGATAGGTTTTTGGCTATTAAAGTTAGATGCACTACATGGATTTTTAGTTTTGCTTGTTTTTTTGTTTTGTTTTGTTTTGTTTGAGAGACGGAGTCTTGCTCTGTCACCAGGCTGGAGTGCAGTGGCACGATCTCGACTCACTGCAACCTCCGACTCCATGGTTCAAGGGATTCTTTTGCCTCAGCCTCCTGAGTAGCTGAGATTACAGGCATGCGCGACCATGCCCAGCTAATTTTTGTATTTTTAGTAGAGATGGGGTTTCACTATGGCCAGGATGATCTTGATCTCCTGACCTCAGGTGATCCACCCGCCTTGGCCTCCCAAAATGCTGGGGTTACAGGCGTGAGCCACCACGCCTGACCCGGACTTTTGGTTTTTGAAGCATTCTTTTTTAAGTGACAAGGCAAAAAACATATAATCAAGAATTTTAAGTATATACTTTGGAAATGTTAAAAGGAACGTGAGTAATTTATTATTGTTTTTTAAATTTCTAGTCAGCAATAAGAGCCCAATGTACTTTATGAAGTAGATTGGTTTACACCAGGGGTGAGCAAACATTTTGTATGATGCACAAGCAAGGAATGATTTTTATGTTTTTTAAATGGTTAGGAAAATATCAAAAGAAAAAATGCCAGAAAAAATCAAAAGAAAGGCCAGGTGCGGTGGCTCACACCTGTAATCCCAGCACTTTGGGAGGCTGAGGCGGGTGGATTCTTTTGAGGTCGGGAGTTTGAGACCAGCCTGGCCAACATGGTGAAACCCGTCTCTACTAAAAATACAAAATAGCCGGGTGTGGTGGCATGTGCCTGTGATCCCTGCTACTTGGGAGGCTGAGGCAGGAGAATCGCTTGAAGCCGGGGCAGAGGTTGCAGTGAGCCAAGGTTTGAGCCACTGCACTCCAGCCTGGGTGACAGAGGAGACTCTGTCTCAAACAACAACAACAACAAAACAAAAACAACAAAGAAGAATACCCTTTCATAATAAGTGAAAATTAAATGAAATTCAAATTTCAGTGTTCATAAATAAAGTTTTACCGGAACATAGCCATGCTCAATCATTTATGTATTGTTCATGGCTTCTTTTGCATACAACAACAGAGTTGGGTCGTTGTCACAGACTGTGTGGCTCATAAAATCTAAATATTTATCATCGAGCCTTTTATCAGTAAACTTTGCTGATCCCTGTGTAAGTCCTCTGAATCAAATTATTTCAAAAGAGTTCTGTTATAAAATTTGGAGTTTACTGTGCTATAAATTGCAAAGAACCATTTGGAAAACCTCTTTTAATCAGTTATTTACATTAAAATGTTCCTTGATTTGTACACTGATATTCAAGACTGGTCCAAAATTATACCAAATTGAAACTCTCAAGTGTTTTTAAACAGTAGGAAGTTTTAACTTTTTTTTTTTTTCGTGGAGTAGTCTATCATTCAGCGTTTACTTTGGAACATTTAATTAGTCTTTTTAAAAAACCCATGAAATTTATAATAAAGTTTTTAAATCATTAAGGTTAAGTAATCAAAGAAAAGATTTTTTTGTTTTCTCCATTTGTAAAATGAATACATTATTATTATAATTTGTCTTTGGCCATACCTTGTTGATAATTCCTTATATAAGTATAAGAAGACATGATATGTTTTCCTTTTTCCTATTTCACAAGAATGAGTACAGGAGTTTACTTAAGCTGCTCCAAAACTCAGTGAGAGAGACAGGATTAGGTTTTTTTCAGCATTGGATTTTAAATGATACTAGATGGTTGTGCTGGGCTAAAATACCAATGCTTTGTGTATATTTTTATGACTTTATTGAAGACAGCTTAAAAGCTGTATTCTAGTTATAAAAATGATACATGTTCACTGTAAATAGAAACAAGTCAGGTATAAAGAAATACAAATCTTTAGAACATGTGGAAAGAGGCAACATAATTCTATAAAAAGAAAAAATAAAGATAAAAATCTGAAATTGTTAATTTATAAGGGAAAAATCGGGGCAAGGACAAATTATATTCCAGATTGGCCTATGGTGGGAGCACAGATTATATAAAGAAAAGTCAGTGAAGACACTTGCAAAGAGTGTGGGTGGAACTCACTAAGTTTTGCAGTTCTGGGGCCTCTTATGATTTATTACTGTTTTTTTCTTTTTTTTTTTTTTTTGGATATACAATCCTTTGGAACCAAAGGTTTATTACTGTTTTGAATAAAGTAGAGGTGTAAGTAGGATGCATATACCATGATCTTGACTGCTTGAGATTCACAAAGGGTTTTCATCTCAGGAATTTTTTTTCTGTTAAAAAAATTTGTTTTCATTTTTAAATTGTAAAAAAATTTATCATCTTAACCATTTTTAAGTATAGAGTTCAGGAGTATTAGGTATATCACTTGTGCAGCAGATCTCGAACTTTTTTCCATCTTGCAAAACTGAAACTCTGTACCCATTAAATAACTACTTCCCGTTTTCCTCTCCCCCAGCTTCTGGCAACCATTCTAGTTTCTGTTTCTTTTTTTTCTTTTGAGACGGAGTCTCGAATCTTGCTGTGTTGCCCAGGCTGGAGTGCAGTGGCGTGATCTCCGCTCACTGCAACGTCTGCCTGCGGGTTCAAGCAGTTCTCCCTCAGCCTCCCGAGTAGCTGGGACTACAGGGGCACGCCACCTTGCCTGGCTAATTTTTTTTTTTTGTATTTTTAGTAGAGACAGGGTTTCACCATGTTGGCCAGCTGGTCTTGAACTCCTGACCTCAGGTGTTCTTGCCTCAGCCTCCCAAAGTGCTGGGATTACAGGCATGAGCCACCACACCCAGCCTACTTCCATTTTATTTTTAAGAAATAAAAGTTTCCAGGCCGGGCGCGGTGGCTCAAGCCTGTAATCCCAGCACTTTGGGAGGCCGAGACGGGTGGATCACGAGGTCAGGAGATCAAGACCATCCTGGCTAACACGGTGAAACCCCGTCTCTACTAAAAAATACAAAAAACTAGCCGGGCGAGGTGGCGGGTGCCTGTAGTCCCAGCTACTTGGGAGGCTGAGGCAGGAGAATGGCACGAACCCGGGAGGCGGAGCTTGCAGTGAGTCGAGATCTGGCCACTGCACTTCAGCCTGGGCGACAGAGCAAGACTCCATCTCAAAAAAAAAAATAAAAGAAAGAAAATTTTAAATTCACTTAACATTAGATTTTTATTAAAGCAAAAATATGTTTTCCTTATTAGCTTACTCTTGTGTAACTCGGATTAAACCCTTGATTGTTCAAATTAACCTGAAAAAAATTATTCTTTTGGAGGCCAAATTTTTGATTAAGTAGTTTGTCTCTAAGTTTTTCAAATTTATGTGTATAAATATAACCTGTCATCAAATTAATGCTAAAATTCTATACATGTTTTTCATGATATGAAAACTATAAAACATGAAGTTATTTGAATTTTTATAGTTTTTATCATTTTATTTTTATTTTCCAGTGCATCTATCCTTTGGGCTCTAAATCACTTAATAACCTAATTTCTCCTGATTCGGAAGAATGTCACACTCCACATAAGCCTCAGAAAAGGAAGAGCTTGGAAAGCAGCTATACAGATTCATTTCTTTTAGCAAATTCCAAAAAGACTCGAAATCATATTGTTACTGATGGTGAACAAGTTTTGAACAGCAAACATAATGGAGAAGTATATGATGAAAGCGCATCAAACTTACCTGATAGTAGTAGTCAGCAGAATCCAGTTAGGACAGCTGATTCCTTGGAGCGGAATGAGATTTTGGAAGCTGATACTGTTGACATGGCTACTACAAAAGATCCTGCTACAGTTGATGTCTCTGGAACTGGCGGACCTTCCCCTCAAAATGAAGGATGTACATCTAAACCAGAAATGCCATTGGAGAGCAAATATACATCATTTCCCCAGACTTTATGTGTCCAGTGGAAAAATGCTTATGCTCTCTGTTGGTTAGACTGTATCCTGTCAGCTTTGGTGCACTCCGAAGAATTAAAGAACACCGTGACTGGACTGTGCTCAAAGGAGGAATCTATATTCTGGCGGTTGTTTACAAAATATAATCAAGCAAATGCACTTCTGTATACCAATCAATTGAGTGGCGTTAAAGGTTGGTACTAATATTTTTATTTATTTATTTATTTATTTATTTATTTGGAGGCAGGGTCTTACTCTGGCACCCAGGCTGGAGTGCAGTGGCATGATCACGTCTCCTTGCAGCCTTGACTTCCCCTGCTCAAATGAGCCTCCCACCTCAGCCTCCCAAGTAGCTGGAACTACGTTCGTGCACCACCATACCCAGCTAAGACAGTGAGATGGGGGCCTCACTATCTTGCCCAGGCTGGACTCGATTTCCTGGGCTCAAGCACCCTTCCTGCCTTGGCCTCCCAAAGTACTCCCTGTAGGCATGAGCCACCATTCCAGCCTATTTGTCTTTAATTCTTGAAAACATTAATGTTGAGTTTTGTCTCCCAGCATGTGGGAAAGATGTCATCCGTTGCTTCTGTTTTCTGGAGGCCTGGGAGCAAGGAGCCCAGGAGCAGTATCACGAAGCTTGAGATAACCAGTGACATTATCCTGACAGCCCCAAAGTCAGTCTTTTTTTTTTTTTTTAAGTTCTGGCGTACATGTGCAGAACATGCAGTTTTGTCACATAGGTATCCATGTGCCATGGCGGTTTGTTGCACCCATCAACCCGTCACCTACATTAGGTGTTTTTCCTAATGCCATCCCTCCCCAACCCCTCCACTCCCCAGCAGGCCCCAGTGTGTGATGTTCCCCTCCCTGTGTCCATGTGTTCTCATTGTTCAACTCCCACTTATGAGTAAGAATATGTGGTGTTTGGTTTTCTGTCCTTGTGTTAGTTTGGGTTGGTTCTAAGTCTTTGCTATTGTGATTTTTTTTTTTTTTTTTTTTTGAGATGGAGTCTCACTGTTGCTTAGGCTGGAGCGCAATGGCATAATCTCAGCTCACTGGAACCTCCGCCTCCCAGGTTCAAGCAATTCTCCTGCCTTAACCTCCCGAGTAGCTGGGACTATAGGCGCCTGCCACCAGGCCCAGCTAATTTTTGTATTTTTCATAGAGACAGGGTTTCACCATGTTGGTCAGGCTGGTCTTGAACTCCTGACCTCATGATCTGCCTGCCTTGGCCTCCCAAAGTGCTGAGATTACAGGCGTGAGCCACCACGCCCGGCCTAGGCAGTCTTTTTCAAAACTGTGAGGCTGTGCTTGTATCTTACTTAGCCTGTCAGGATAATAGTGGTTAGTTTTAAGTGTACTGAAAAGCAGAATGAAGAAGTGAATAAAAATCATCCATAATCACACAACCTCCTAAGATCTCTTGTCACCCTAAGGGATATGTTTTTCATTTTATTTTCTGTAAAATAGGATACTTATGAACCCACCTCCCAACGTATGAAGAATTAAGACATTCCCAATAATTTACATTTACCTATGTGTTCCTCTCATCCCATTCTCTACCTCCCCCAATAAGTAATCATTATCTGAGTGTGTTTTATCATTCCATCTTTTCTCAGTTTTCCTTACATGTATATATCTAAACAGTATACAGTAGTCTCCCCTTATCACAGTTACACTTTTCTTGGTTTCATTTAACCCAAGGTCTGAAAGTAGATGAGTATAGTACAGTAATATATTTTGTGAGAGAGAGAGAGACACCACATTCATGTAACTTTCATTACAGCGTATTGTTATAATTGTTCTATTTTATTATTAGTTGTTGTTAATCTTACTACGCCTAATTATAAAACTTGATCATAGGTATGTAGTTATAGGAAAAAGCGTTATGTGTAAAGGGTTTAGTTACTATCCAAGGTTTTAGGCATCCAGTGGGGTCTTGGAAGATATCCTTCTCAGATAATGGGGGACGGATAGTACTGAACCCTGTATATATAGTGTTTTCCCCTATACCTACATAATTACGATCAAGTTTAATTAAGAATAAATTAAATGTGGGCCAGGTGCAGTGGCTCACACCTGTAATCCCAGCACTTTAGGAAGCTGAAGCGGGCAGATCTCCTGAGGTCGAGAGTTCAAGACCAGCCTGGCCAACATGGTGAAACCCCATCTCTACTAAAAAATATAAAAATTGACTGGGCGTGGTGGCACACGCCTGTAGTCCCAGCTACTCTGGGAGGCTGAGGCAGGAGAATTGCTTGAACCCGGGAGGCAGAGGTTGAACAATCACTTGAACCTGGGATCACACCACTGCATTCTAGCCTGCCTGGGTGATAGAGTGAGACTCTATCTCAAAAAAAAAAAAAAAAAAAAAGTGAAGTAAATGTGGCTCAACATGTTGCTGCCATTTGGAACACTTGTTTCTTATTGTGTCTTCCACCCACAAATTGAATGCTTTTTCCATCTTAACACTTATCAGGCACTGCGGCCATAAGTTTAGCAGTTGAGATGCAACAGCAAAATTAGCACCAATTTCTTTTTCCTTCTTCACAGTTTCAAGGATAAGAGATTTGTTCTTAGATCTCAGCAACCTCAGCATATGATTTTTTTCTTTAAGTTGAGAACTTTGACTTTTTCACTTAAAGAAGCATTTTACAGCTTCTCTTTGGCGTATCTGAATTGCCAGCATCACTATGCTTGTGCTTTGGGGCCTTTATTAAGTCAAATAAGGGTTCCTTGAACACGAGCACTGCAACACCATGGCAATAGATCGCGTCACCAAGATGGCTACTAAGTGAACCACAGGCAGGGAGTGTAGACAGCTTGGATACACTGGACGAAGGGAAGATTCACGTTGCCAGTGGAAGACAGCAGGACAGCAAGAGAGTTCATGATGCTACTCAGAATGGCATGAAATGTAAAGCTTTTAAATTGTTTCTGGAATTTTCCATTTAATATTTTCAGACCATGGTTGACTTCGGGTAACTGAAATCATAGGAAGCAAAACCACGGACGAAGAGGGGCCACTTTGTATTGCCTAATTTAGTTTGTTGTGAACTTCAAACAAGGGGATTGTATAGTAAGTCTTCTGGGACCTTTTTTTCTTGTAAAAATTTATGGGGCTGCTTGTAGTTGTGGCTCATTGATTTTTCATTGCTATATAATACTTCCATTTTGTAAATATAACAGTATATTCATCTCCCTGTCAGTGGACAGTTGGTTTTTTTTTTTTTTTTTTTTTTTTTTTTTGTTGTGGAATCGCTGTTTCTCTCACCATTTGGGGGCAAGTCGCCTGAGGCACAGTATGAGAGTTTCCCTTTTGTATACCAGAGGAATGGAAAATTACAGACTCTCATGTCTAAATTTACAAGATAATGACAGTAGTT